TAAAATCTTACATTTCAAATATATTTCTTGTAATATATTTTTAAGGACTGATTGCAACGACATTAAGCGAAACTTAAAACTTTATAAATTTATTATAGCAATCGAATTTGATTGGTTCTTATTTTACATCTAACCACTAAAAGACTAAGTTCGGAAACGTCATCCGAGTGCTTCTACGCATCATTTTATTCTTGTTTAACATTCGGTGAAAAACAAAGATAAAATGATACATGGGATACTCAAATGTTTTCGAATATAGCCTAAAAGTGTGAGAAGCAGGCTATCAGTGCTATTGGCTGTGTTCAACTCAAACAGCTTTGCAACTGTGTAAAATTCTTAAATGTGATTAGTTTATACATTTAGATCCAAGAGAAAACAAAAATCCTTTCTAAAGAAAGATTTTTACAACAGTTGCAAAATTGTTTTCTCTGCTGAATGTAGCCATTGTGTCATTTTATCATTAAATATTAAAATAAGGATAGAATGACACAATAGTGCTAAATGACAAATAAATTTGAAATATATAAAGTAACGATGAAAGTAACTATTAAACTAGTTATTAGTTACTAAAAATATGTAATTAAGTTAAGTTACAGTTATAAATGGAAAAAAGAAACGAAGTTAAGTTATAGTTATTGAAAAAAAGTAACTCTAACAAATAACGAGTTACTTCCCAACCCTGCCCTGAAGTAATAGAATTAATTACCTTCCAACTCTATCCATGGTGAGATTGTCATCCTCATCGTACTCATGTATAATATCTTGGCAGCTGACTTTCTTACTCCTGCATAGCCTAATTATCTCAACCTCCTTCATATCAGTCTTTATGCTTGTACTTAGGGGTATTTTTGATTCTGATCGCGCGGACGTTTTCAATTTTTCGGAACTATCGTCAGCGGAGCCAACGATTTCCGATTGCTCGGGATTGGACGAGCGCACCAAAGGACAATCGTCCTTCTCTGGTGTCTTCTCGGACACCGACTTTGTAGAGATCTTCATTGTTTCGAAGTTCTCGAGATTGTTATTATGATTTGCCTATGAAAGGTGTGAACAGATCGGAATTATATCTATTTGTTTGCTACAATTTTTTATTTTACTAATCTTTAATTCATATTCTTTACGTCATTTTGAAAGATCGAAATAGGAAACGAAATATAGTTAGTAAATTACATAATAATTACATAATAATTTTATCATTGCATCATGAGCAGAACTTGGATAATATTTGTGATAGTACGCTTCTAAGATATTTTGTTGATTGGTGCTAATTTTTCTTAAATTATTAAATTATTATGTAGATATTATTATTTTCATATACCTATTATATATGTATATGCCTTTTAATAATATTTTACATTCTTTTGAAATATATTAGAGCTTTCTTATAATAAGAAAATTATATAATTTCTTCTACTGCAAAAGAAATCCACGAATAAACGACATTGGTTTAAATTAGAATTTTGATCCAAAGTATATAAAGTGATATTAAAGAATTCTTATACATTGTTCTTATACATTGGTTTTTTTTTGGCAATTTTCAAATTATATCCAGATTCTGGGCACGAAGTATCTTTATATCTGTTTAAATATTGTCGAAATCAACGCAACTGTTATAACAGTTATAACGACAGAAAACATTAATGTAAACTGTTTAATTACTTCCGTGTCGGCGGCCTCCGACAACTCATCATCCACTTCGTCTTCTGCTTCCATATCACCTTGAGCTTAATGTAACGTGCATCGAGCGCAATAGGAACGTTCAGTTATGCGACGGGAACCGTGTGAATAAGAGGAAGTTTCACATCTCGTCACCCTTTCGTTTCCCGGTATTTATACATATCTTCGCGAGTCCCGGAAATTCGCATCTGAAAAAAATTTGCGGTTTCTTTATGACGCAGTATACTTCTGATAATTTTATTTTTATACTCTAGTCTTGATAATGCCGACATGTTATTCTTTTCTGTTCTATTCATTTGCCGATTCATTTGCTCACCAGAAATTTTAATTTGTTGAATAAATACTATTTAAATAAATTAAACAAATGAATCGCGCTATGTTAAACATACATATGAGAAGAATACGCCGGAATTGTCGTTATTGCAACACAAGGTTGTTTTATTTGTAGACGAATGCTTTTCGAGCATTGATTTTTGATATATATATATATGTAGCAATATGTAAAATACGATTTTCCATTTTTTTCGGTTTTTCGAACATAATTCGGACTGACGTAACTCACGTTTTCATAGCAGTCACTCTTAATGATGACTCTTGGAGATAATTTGACAAGACCTCATACGATTTAGGATACGCTTTAAGATCTCATTTCCCACATTTTTGAATGTTCGAAATGTTATCTATGAATGTCGAGCGTCGAAGACGAGCCCATGAATTTCATATTTTATTGATGCGACTCGTATACGGCGGGATCCTTCTTTGCTCTTCGGTTAGTCCTCTTTTACTCTTCCTCCCCCATGAGAATCAGGAGAAAGGATCGAAGGCAACGACCCACTGGGGAAATCCACGTCTAATCACTGAATTATGAAATTACGCGATTCAATATTCATGAAGAAGGCCGTCCAGCCGCCGGCGGCGTCTGCAATTCTCAATGAGACTAACCGCTTCGCATTAAGTCCCTTGTTAATACGTTTCCTGTCGATGATTATCCTTCCGCGCGCGTCTCTCGCTCTTACAACATTTGCTCCGACATTTTATCCGCTAAATTGGAACTGAGACTGGATAATTGGAATGTCATGGCAACGTGAGTGGATGCGAATTCAATGAGCATTTTTGCGAATTGTCTGTTATATTGAACTGCGTCGTGGAGATCGCAAATATTTTTACTACGGGACATCATGGCATTAGATTAATTTAATTTTGATCGTAGATAAATGATGATGTTTAAAATACTTGCTGTAAACTTATTATACATCTTGATTTATAATATTAGTTTTCCAAGAAATAAATATGTTCTCCTAATATACAGATTCGCACGATAAGGAATGAATAACATCTTTTAGCACTTATTTGTATCACTACAGATTTGATAAAAGTCTTATTTCTAGAATTCGAAAGTTTTTAGAATACGTACGATGAATACGTTCTCGTACAACAAAAAACTTTACGAAGACTAAAATTATGGGTTTTAATATTTTTTAATACAATTTTGTTAAAAGAATGTAAACATGTATGTATATTTTTGAATTATCTATTTATAAAATTTCCATAACGTTAAATTAGAACGGGTTAATTATTCACGCAAAGAATCTAAATCGCTTAGAAAAGGTTGCAATCAAGGTCAGTTCTTTGATGAACAAATTTGATTGCTTATTTGCTTACAATAACCTAAACAGATATGCTAGTCACACAAACACAGTCACCTGTATCGCTCACCTGCAGTAAATCACTCGCGAAGAATGTCTTATAAATGCAGCACACCCGCGTGTCCGGCCCGAAATAGCCATCACTCCTGTAAAATGTCATTTGCGATTTTCTGCCGCACGTGAACGCTCGCCTTTACGTACAATCGAGTCCTTCGCTGGCAGCTATCACATCGGGCGCACATCGTTTCAACAGATCACAAAGTTCCTCGACATATCGTCACCCGTTTCCCTTCATGAACGAAATGAACGTCATCGAACGTACACAAACGAATGTACACAAAAGTCGCATCTTACTTTTATTCCACCCGTGATTCTCCCTCGATAAACATATCTCCCTTTCGTCCGTCGCGTCGATATCCTTTCTTTAATTCAAGCGTATCAAGGATACATTACGGTCGACTGTGTGTTCCGTCCTCATCCCGGCGTGCGTCAAACACGACGTGCTCCCGAAAGCGTTCAATCGCGATCGATTGGACGGAACCGATTGCTGGCCGAAACGTGAAAGCGCGACCGTCGTCGCGCGATCACGCAGACGCATCTCGTATAATCTCGCGTATTTTATTTATTTTTTTTTTTTTCACGTTCAAGTTCGTCACCGTTCGATTTATCCGTCATGGCGTGTTTTCCAGCCTCTCTATCATCTGCGAAACCGCAACATCACTCGGCGGGCAGAGTCTTTTCCGTCGCGAGATTGACAATCGGAAGCTTTGCTCCTTTTCCGAAGTTCAGCTCAATCGATCTGT